CTCTTTACTGGCAGAGGAGTCTATTTTTAGCGTCTGACGTCGATGGTCTCCTCTGATGGAGCCTCGTCACGGCCGACTTCACTGAGCCGGGAGGGTGGAGTGTAAAAATGGGGTTTGGTGAGGTGTGGTGAGACGGGGAGATTGAGGGTCATTGCTGAGGTAAGCCCAGCCTCCCTCCCTCCCTCTCTTTCCCATGCTCTCTCTCCCATGCTCTCTCTCTCTTTGCACCGTCACACCAATCAGGTGTGTGATGCGACTCGCATCACTGTGCTGCTGCTGCTGCTGCTGGGTACAGATCCTCCCTATGACTTCCCCTCTTCCTCCTCCTCCCCCCCGCCCCCCTCCTTCTCTACAGTTCCCTCTCAGTGTCTGTGAATTAGGTCTGTTTCATTCAACATCGATTGCATAACAGCCATCTATCATTTATCAGCCAGTTCTATTGCTGGAGCACCAGAGACGAGCTGAGCTAAAAATAGAGACACAGAGGCGACCTGCTCTGCTGCCTGCCTCTGGTTTCTGTTGTTGTTGTTGTGGAGGGGGGGCGGGATGTGAGACATATACTTGAACTTGAATTATATGTTTAAATAATGTAAGTCTGTTCATAAATGCTCATTTAGGAATGCAGGAGACTTTGGAGTTTCTGTGATTTTTAACTGAAGGATAATGGATAATTAATAAGGGATGATTTGAACATGATTTGATTTAGTTGATAATGAGCTGAAACCCTGAGTTTGGGCAAATGTCCCTGCCAAGATCATCTGTTTTGTTTTAGCTGCTCTGTGATTATTTTCTTTAGTGGAATTCATTTAATGAATGAATGTTGGAATTAGTGACCCCTGCAGGTCAGCTGCCTGTTGTCTGCCCGCGAGGGTCCAGAAGAGGAAGTGTGATGCAGTCTGTGTGGTTACAGCAGATCATGGTTTATAGTCTCTCAGTACGTTGGCTGCGATGGTTCAGGTAGATCCAGGAGGCGGGAGAGGTGGGGGCCCGGGGGGGTGGGCAAAGTATGTCAGCTGATGTAACACGCATGAAGTCAGTGCTGTCGTCATAAAGAGACAGTGAAGCCGGGGAATATGGTTGATCACTGAGGGCTTACAAGGGCATGTGTTTAAAAAAGCTTTTGAAAGATACTGTTTTTCAGGGACGTGCG